AAATATGATCGCAGGTACGATCATTCCAGACTTTCTATTCTTATAGCTATATGACCACATACTGCCACAATATTGAACTGGCAATGAATTAAAGAAAATACAAAGTGCTGAAAAGGATGCTTATCGATTACGAAAGACAGGTGAGTACACGATGGAAATCAGGAAAGATATGGAGTTGTAAATAAGGAAACAAGTAAAAAGGAACAACCTGATATCCTTCGCTCACAATGGCCACATTAGCATTGATAGTGTAAAACGAAAGGTAAATTAGGAGGATTAGCATAAGCGTAACTGGTCGCATCACTGGTATTGCTTTTTGCTTGTTACCATTCACAGGGCATTACTGTTTTCATATTCATTCACAACCCAATAGAACACAGCAGAGCGCAGTAGTTGTCGAATCGTTCTCGTTAGTACAGATTGTGATCATTCATTTGCAGCCCCATTTTTTTATCGCATTCCTGAAATCAAACCAATATTGCTGTTATCATGCTTAACATATCCTTATCGTATCATCGTTACAGATACCGGTGGGAGGGATACAGCATTGAGCATCGAATGATCAAAGCAACCTGTACCACACACTAAATAGATGTTTGAGTTGGATGAAGTGAATCAAGTGACATATAAAAGGTGATAGTGTTTGGGAATTAATAATGACGGGATCAGCAATTCAAAAAAAAAATATACGGGAAAGGTGAGCAGATAAAAGCTGAAATAACACAGTTAGGTTAATCATGTATATCGATCGATTAACTGACTAGTTTGCTCGGTTAGCAAGAGATGATTGAATGCCGAAAGTCATCTGAAAATATGTGAAATTTTGAATGAATTCTTTTTCATCAATGGTCTTTCCTGACTGAGTTGAAATTTCAAATCAAAAAAAATGAAATAAAAAGCTATTTCAAAGAATTCACGTTAGCATGACGGAAATTAATAAATCAAGAAAGGATGATATAAAACCCTAACTAAAATTTTAACTATACGGTTTTTCTCATAAATCGGAAAAAGTGATGGGTAAGTTTCGATTTTACCACATCAAGGTGGCAAGAGTGTTTGGAAGAAAAAATCCTAAAAATTCAACCATTCCACTTTAGCTTTTTCGAATTCCCTTATCAGTCATCTCTGCGCGCAAGAAAAAAGAGGAATCTTTGAGTGGCATAGAAATGTATCGAAGTAAAGAAATGTGCGATTAATACGCCCTAGGATACTTCTAGCTACGCTATCCTTCAGAGAACTGCAGTTAAATTTTGTCACTTATGGAGTTTTTTGCAAAAGGAAAAAGAATGGAAGAATGATTAAAAGGAATGGAAGGAGTCTGTGAAAGGGTAGTAGCAAACCAGCATGATGGCATCAGCAATAGCAGAATGACATGAAGAATGAGAACGAACTGTGAGATGAAGGAGCACAACCTATTATCTATCTATCCATCCATCCATCCCGAGGCGATCCGTCAACCATCATGAGAAATTTGTCACTTAAAAGTGCAAAAAGCTTTTCCATCTCGAAGCAATTCTCTCCACTTATTTGCTCACCAAAAAATACAATGGGAAAAATGTAAGAAATTTACTACAGTGTAGGCATTTCAAAATATTTCCGATATGCTAACGGAAATTGATCTACTCAGTAAATTCAATAAAGTGTACTCACGTGAGACACTCCTCACGAATCCCAGTCAGTCCTTCGTCGTGTTTTCATTGGACAGGGGAGAAAAGCTAGATATACATACATCGTCGTGTCCGACAAACAACCGTCTTTCCATATTAAGAAAATTTTCTTAAGAAAGTTCGAACCAAGTGGGTGAAAGTCACTGGACCATCGGCCATGGAGCCGACCACAAATGGAAACCGGCAATTTAAAGATATCGCCTCAAAAGGGCTAATCTAATCATTTGTTTTGAGAATTGAAAATAACTGTTAAGAAAATCACCATAAAGTGAAGAGCAAAATAAAGGAGGAAGATAATTAGTTCAAACATTCGAATTGAACGGTTTCAATTTGCCTCTTAGGTGTAGCGATTTAAATAAGAGACAGGTTGGAAATGAAATTTCTAATTGCAAGTTTCATTTTGGGAATGGAACTTCCAAATATATGCTACTAATTACTAATAATAATGATAAGAATTCACTTCTATCAATGAGAAAGGAAAGGAACGATTCGTTTAAGATGACAAACCACACATTTGCTATGGTTTATTTTCCTCCCAGAAAAGGTGAAGGAAATTTTTTAAAAAAAGGAACTCGTATAAAAGCTTTTTATTACAGCTCAATTTCATGTGCATGAAACCTTAGAAACAAATTCTTTTTAAGCCAAGATAAATTCTTGAGAGCAACTTTTCATCAAGCTGAAGTACTGGACACACACACACACACACGCACACACACACACACACACACACACACAGTATACATATACACATACTTACGCATACACATACACACACATACGCCACATACAATGCGCACAACATTCATTAACGACATACATGACCACTAAGAGGAATAGAGCAAGGAGTGAAATGAAGTTTTAACCAGAAGCGCCATTTCTCAGTTTATCCAATTTCATTGAATGGTAAAGTGTTTCACTTCTCGTGTCTATTTCGCATGAAGAAGTTATAAACCGTTTTCTATAAACCAATACAAATCTATCCGTCCAGAGTACGGACTAAAACAAGTAGTATAATATAGTGGTTACGGCCACAGGAATAGCTATCAACGATTTGAGACAAGGTTCGGGTGGTGGTTCGTGTCCGCTGATATGGAATGGAACATTCCAAAGGATATCATTGCAGCAAACAATAACTGTGAATAAGTAATAGCAACGAGGAAAATGAAGCCAACAACGACTCCATTCCAACTAGTATTAATTGCTTCTTGCAAATTTGACTCGAAAAAATCTCAAATGAACTTCATTTGAACAATAACTTTTATCATATGCTAGATCAGATCATTGAATACATATGATAATGGACAATAGCAATACATTTCTCTAAAAGGCGGAAATTAACATTGGCAATGGCCTATGATTTAACAAAATTCTGTTAAATTGCAATAATGACATAACACTTCGTTAAAAGAAAACAAATAAGCAACATTTTATCGGGTCGGTCATAAATTTTGTTCAATGAGCATTAAAGGGATGGAAGAGCCAACAATGAGACAACCAAGACATAAATTAAATGTTACTAAGTCTCCCACCCTCTAAACGAATTATGCACTACCACCACAC